GATTACGGGAATTAAAACTGACCTCCCCGCATTCCGAGCCAACACCAGTGGGCTCCGTGGAGAAGAGCCGGGACACGATCAGAAGACAGGAGACAAACACTAACACCCTCTCAACACACAGGCCCCCAAGAGTCAGGACATGAACCAGGAATTTAACTAAACTCAAAAACAAACATTTACAACTGACACAAATACATTACATGAATAAACTAAGAAGAAAGATCTGGCCCTGATAGCTGGGCTGAACAATATATATAGCAGAGGGAGCAGGTGAATAAGATGAATGATAATTAGAGAGCGGGGGAGGGAACAGCAGGTGAAGGGAGTGAGTAATCAGATCAGCTACCGGGGCTGCGATCATTGAATTTATACTCTAAGCGTCCGTCCTGATCATGTTTAGATAATCCTTTTGAGCCTAAATAGAACTCAAGAAACGGGCGAGACAGGCTGACATGAACAGACGTGGCGCCATCTAGCGGCAGTACTACTAATCAGCCAGAGGGCAAGACGTTGGCCATTGACGCAGCTATTAGATAAGTCCACCACGCCATTGGTGCTGAATGCCTCGCAGAAAAACTGCCAGCTCAAAAGCATTGCCAGCACCAGTAGCCATGTTAGCAAGGACGTATTCCAGCGGCTACCAACTTCACAGCACCATCAGAATGCTTCCTGAGATTCAACTCCAGCTTCAGTGAATCCCCTCTTAGAATGCAAATTCAATTTGTGCCTTTTTGCATTTGATGTTAGGAAAAAAAATGCATGGGCTTTTTTTGCAAGTGAGCTAGCAGACTAGCAGTCCCACACTCACTTACCTCCATCACTTAGGATTGTTGACCAATTGTTTGCATGCAATGACTTAATCATGGTCACAGGATGTCATTTAGGTAAATACACACAGAACGGCTATATTTGCTAACAAAGCTTAGCAAAAACAAAGCTTTAAAGACAACAATAAAAAAATACTATACCAGCAGGATGCCATAATTTATCATACAATTACACTACTCAGAAAACTTAAAAGGAACACTTTGTAATGAGAGTATAGCATCAACTTAATTAAACTTCTGGGATATTGATTTGGTCAGGTCAGTAGCAGAGGGGGTTGTTAATCAGTTTCAGCTGCTTTGGTGTTAATGAAATTAACAAGAGGTGAACTAGAGGGGCAACAACGAGACGACCATCAAAACAGGAATGGTTTTACAGGTGGAGGCCACTGACATTTTTTCCCCTCCTCATCTTTTCTGACTCTTTTTCACCAGTTTTGCATTTGGCTAGGGTCACTGTCACTACTGTTAGCATGAGGTGCTAACTGGACCCCAGACATGGGCA